CAATTTTTCTGAGCATAAAAATGATAGCGGCTCGTTACAATTTTTTTTTGGTAATTATAATTTTTGGAAATAAATTATAATTTTTATCCAACTATAATATCCAATCCTCAATTTTAATTTTGTAAAATCTACAATTTTAATCTAGCATATTTAATGTTCATTACTTAATTAGTAAAATTATAATATTGATTCTAATTTTCACATTAATTACGATATAATATTAATATTTAATATTATTAAAATTAAAATTTTATTTTTAATTTTCATTTTTAACCTATAAAATAGTAAAACGAGATAAAAAATAGAGAATAAATGATTACTTCACTACTGCAAAAGCATGATTTTCCATCGTTCTTCCTGTATTGACAATTTAACAATCAATGTATAGAAGGACATGGTAACATTTTTTACAATTTGAAACAACTATTTTACGTCAATTTTAAAATAATGGATGTAAAAAAACATATCTTACATCTGGGGACGGAGCTAGGGGAGCAATTTGCAAAGTTACCATTTACTGAACAAAGATATAAAATATAAGTATTATATTTTACGTGTTTTTTATAAAACAATTTAAAATGCATGATAAAAAATACATTTACATTAAAAAATAAATTAACAATAAATGTAAATTGTCCTTATTACATAGGTTCAAAATTTGAATAGATATAAATAACTTTTTTTTACATCCATTTAAATTAGAATATGTGTTTTAAATTTTTATATCGAAGAGTTTAAACTTAAAAAAAATATTTTATCGCAGAGAGGTGGGTCACGAGAGAAAGGAAAAAAAAGTATCATGCCTAGATTTGAAAGTGCAAACATGCGAAAGAAAAAAGAAACATTTTACTCTAAAAATGAGAACAATAATCAAATGATTAAATAAAGGTAAAATTAAAAGATAAGTGTATGAAAATTTTTATCGTGACATTAATATTTGAGAATATTTGAATATTGTTGTTGCCATCGTCTAAATAAGAAAAACAATAATCATTTGTGAATTTAATATCTCATATTCTTGCAATTAAATGAGTGGATTTGTTTATTAATGCTTTTAGCTAGCTAGTGGATGACATAATCTGGGAAATTGGATAATTAATAGGTTACATTATATAAAACCATATAGTAATAAACGTTATGTGGCGTAGGAAGGCGCGTGCATCGTAAGCATTGACAATCATATTAATTTTCTTACTCAAAAACATCAAGTCATTGAAAACTAAATCCATCTTTTTCCGTTTTAATATTTCCCCTCTCCATACACAAATAATATTAAATTCCTACAAAAAAATTTTCTTCTTGATCATGAGATATGAACAAAAGGATAAAGAAAATTTTAAAATATATACTAAATATCATAAATAAAATGAAATGTAAATAAAAAATCAGTAAAAGAAACAACCCTATTTATTTTTAATCTTTTATAGTTATTTTTCTCACCCAGTTGTTGTGTTGTGTCCATAAAACAAAATTGAATAGAAAACGAATAACATAACTTTGGTGGGTTTGACAAACTCCAAAGCAATCCCTCTCATTCCAAGTCACTTCAAAATTGGAAGATGAGAAAAAAAAAGCCTCAAATCATTATAGCGTGCAGCGACACGACGCAGTTGCGTGTAAAAGCACACAAAACATTTAAACATTGCAAAGGGGATTATTACTTTTCCCCTTTCTCTCGACAATGACTTTCAAATATTTAATACATTGGTTACAATCATGGTCTACATAACCCAATAGGGTGTGCTTTTAGTTCAACTTCAACTTTTTCATATTTTATCCTCTTTCATTACTTAACTCTTGTTGGTTAATTATTAACATTTGTATGAATCCCATTAGTTGGGTTAGATGGGCAGGAGATAAAGTTTGTTGGGAATTTTATTAAATCCGTGACTTGATTTGTGAAAATGAAGCAATTCATTAATTAATTGGGAATGAGTTGAATCTCAATCATACTCCACATCATGTTTTCCATATGAAAGAGTAAATAATTTTATTCCTGTTCACATCACATGGTGCAGGAAGATGTGCAATATATTTATTCTTCAAAACCTTTGAAACAAAAACCTAGGTTGAGTTAAACCGAGATAAGAGCCTTTGAAATTTAATGTTGTTAAAAAACAATAGTTCAACATTGTGGGGGCACTTGCCGTGCAACATTAAGTATTGGTTTCTGCATCAGTTCCAGAAGATGAAAATTCCTTGCAAATTAGTAGTAAGATGATATTATTGTGTAGACTTGAATTTGCACCAAAATATGGTACACATTAATTGGTGGTTTGGATAAGGTCAAAACAATTTGGCTGAGGCAATATATCCCCCCAATAGTTTGTACTTGCTTAAGATATTTTCAATTAGTGATGTTGGAAAATGAGTCATTTGACCACTTTTTTGGTTTTGAGTGTTATTCTTCACATGCTTATAGCTAAGGAGGCGTTTAGCATTTTGCAAACCAAGTCATGAGGAATGATGGATATTCCAATAAAATACCAGTAATAATTATGCACTTTGTAAGTTTTTTTTTTAAATATTACCATTTGCTTTATTCGGTCATAACTCAGTCAAAATCAAATTTCCATCTTTAATTAAAAAATACAAATATAAATGTCATACTACTTATATAATTTTGAAAACTCATTACTTATTTTGCTTTTTGGGGGCAATATAATGTTATATATATAGTCATGGACTGTGCTTTTGTCATGATATGGTTATACTATTCTTTCGTGTGTTTGGTATACATCATTTTGTTCGGTTGAAAGGTCAACAGATTATTATTTTAAAAGGATTTCTTATGCTTTGTGCAACATCAATAGATAAATCAGAAAATTACCTAATTCAAACTTAATGTTAAAAAAAATTGTTAAAAGCCTTTATATACTCTCAAAACAATAACACATTATGTAAATTCAATGATGATATGATTTTTTAATATAATTTATTTATATAATGCTATCGAACCAATAATTGAATTGATAGCATTAGAAAGAATACATGTTTACTTCTTTAATCACATTTGGTAAAGGGGCGTTATGGGTTGATATGTTAATCTACTGAGTACCAGCACTGGTAGAATTGGCCCATTTGAGAAAGAACAAAAAATGTTGGGCCCATGATTTTTTGTATGTTTATTACCACATAAGAATTCGAAGTATAACAGAGCCCAGTCCAATAGATGCAGCAAACTCAACAAACATTCTTTGGACCAAAATAAAAAATAAAAAACAATACTAACTTGAGAGATATGATAATAACGTACTTTTGAGTTTTGACATGCTTTCGGTGTATTCTTTCTCTTCAATAAATTTCATTTATGCTTCGTTAAAAAGAGAATAATATTATACATTTTACAGTATAAGTCATGAAATTTTTTAATTATAAAAGAATATATCGTTAAAATTATTATAACCTTAAGAGGGTATCATTTAGTGAGTCAAGTAAAACAACCAGTTTTATGAATCATTAATATGTAGCCTAAACTGTTTCTTTGACATAGCTGATTTTTTTTTTTTTTGAGAATCCGATTTATAATTTAAAAAAATCAATAATTAACTCAGAGATTTACTCGTAAAGAAAATACTAAATCCTTCAAATGGTTTTGGGCCATGTGTTCGTTAGAATTGTAAGAAGAAAACAAAAGATAACAGGGTGAAATTTCGTTGGGCCGGATAGAAATTTCGTAGGCCCAATTACATGAAATTTCTATAAACTCAAAGCCCAAATTATCCCTATAAGTCTGTGGCCACCGAAGCTGAAATTAGGGTTTTTGGTTCCAACCCTTTGAGATGTTGGTGTTGTGCTTTTTTGTATTCTCTCGCAACGTTTGTTCTGAATTTCAAATTATAGCAGGAAATCCATAGTATTTGTGTTTCCCTTTATGTCCTTACCGAAAACCCTTTTTCTCTGTTGTTTTGGGGGAACACTGGAGCTACTAAATCTCTTCTAAAAGATATAATTTTTATTTCTGGTTGTTGCTTTTTTTTTTTTTTTTTTTTTTTTTTTTTTTCAAAAGGA